AAACAGTGACACATACAGTTCAATGTGAAAAAAAATCCAGTTCATTTCATTGATTTCTTTGTGAGTACAGCATGGATATTCTTTGTCAAATGAAGTAGCTAGCAATGTAAATTTAAAACATGTGAATATTGATCTACTTTTTTTTGTGCACCTATCTCTATGTAGAAGCAAAGCAATTGGGAAGCAAAGCAATTGCAAAGTCAATGTCTCTCAACAATTTTGCATGTGTCAGTCAGCCAGCAAAATGTGGAACTTTTCCAGTTGCCCTTCAAAAGTTGAAGAGCTGTGGCTAGAAAAGCTGAGCTGCCTGTGGATGATTTCATGCTAGGGAAATGAGGTAAGAAAGAGAACGATGTGCTGAAGTTGAATAATATGGAGATGTTTTATAAAATAAAATAAAATAAAATAAAATAAAATAAAATAATAAAATAAAATAAAATAAAATAAAATAAAATAAAATAAAATAAAATAAAATAAAATAAAATAAAATAAAATAAAATAAAATAAAATGCTTGACAATGTAGTCAAAGTACTAGTATTTCTAATTATGTGTCTTTCAGATTGTTCAAATGTAACTAATTATTTCTGCTTTCCTCTTCAGGAAGACAAAATTCCTGTCCTAAGTCATAATTCAGAATGATATTTAATACATTTAAGCATGTTCCTAATATTAAGATGATCAGAAGTACCTGCTTGTCTTTAAATGAAATTGTAGGGGAGTTGTTCCACTGAACTCCAACACAAAGTTACCTGCACATATTTCTATTCACAGAGTTGAAACTGCATAAGAAATGGTATTTGGGTCTTACAGAATATTTTTCATATATAGATTTTTAAATGCTTTGCAGAGTAGGTCAGTATCATTCCCATTCTACTGAAACAGAGCAAAGCACTTGTTTCTGAGCAGATCACTTGCAGAGCCAGACTAGATGCAGTGTTTTCTGAACAGCAGAACAATGAAATCTGCTAGATCATGCAACCTCCTTGCTATGCTTAAGAAACAGCTCACTCTTATCTCCTCTTTTCTTTCTCTGGGCATTTGATGAATTATTGTAAAAAAAAAAAAAAAAAAAAAAGTACAGGCAGAGGATGGCATGCAAGAAATATGAAAAGAGAAAGGCTCATTTATTACTTGAATGGGTATACCTAAGTTTTCTTGTGAGGCTTGATCCAAAGAATGACTCCCTACTAAACATGACATTACTGTAAAGTGAAGAAAAGTTATTAAGATGACACATTAATGATTATCTATGAAAACCTCTATGAAAAAGAATGGGAACAGCCTTTCATTGTAGTTCATCTAGCATGTAAATCAGAGTGGCCTTTTTCCTTTTCCTGTTTTGGTCAGATGCATAAAGAAAAGCTCACAGTACCATTTTCCTGCTTTTCAAAACATGATTTTATAATCATTATGCTGTTATTAGTGTTATCATACATAAACACACCACATTATATACATTATTTCACAAACACATAATAGAAGGACTAGTACAGGTTCTGCCTTTTAAGGATGCCAAAACATCTTTTTAAAGGCAGAGAGATAATATTTATCTTGTGGGGATAAGGACACATTTCTACATTCACATAATAATAAATCTAGGACTGAACATGCTGTCGTGATAGCTTTCTCTAGAGTTGGAGAGTGCTCTATTGAAAAATTAAAAATCTGATTACTTAATTACCCAGTGCTAGGCCCTAGGAGAAAGTTCAAAATCCCTAGCTAAATTGCCTGTACATGGAGATGGCTGAAAATTCATATACTAGTCAAAAGGTAACGCTAACAACAGTTACCCAAAACAATTATCTAAAAATTAGGTCCACAATTCCTTCCTCAACACAGATGTAAAAAGTTGAAAAAGTTGTTCCAAAATAAATAGCATGTCCTTCAAGCAAAGACCCACTCTAAAGGAAACAGAAAATTCAAGTCAGGCAACAAATGCTTGCCAAATGTCAAAATCTCTCCAATGCAAATTAATGTCTCTTCTTCATAATTCCCGTTTCTTGGGAGCTAACCTGATGAAAAGGCTTTACAATGTTCACAGATGAGCAGCAGTACAAGGTTCACCAGATTAAGTGGAAAAAGGAAATCCTCCTTACTCTCTGTAGGTATGATCACTGTTGGTGACTTCAAGTGCTGGTAGCATATTGCATCGATTAAATAAGAAAAAGTTAGTGGCAACTCTGCCATGAAGCTAAATGTCCTGCCAGTGAGGAACGGAAAGCACAGMTCCCTGGTCTGGGGATGTGTACAGGTCATGTAGGGAAGACAACATCATGTGCACCATGTTCTTTCACTGTCTACATGACCTAGCCTACTGTCTGACACAAGATTAGTCTGATGTGGTCTTCATCATGTCTCCTGTCTTCAGAGTTTTCAATTAAAGGAAAGAGAATCTCAGTGAAATTATAGGCTGCTGTAAAGCTTAAATCAACTTTCTACCACTGCTTTTTTCCCATAAAGTGTTGGTTTTGGATATAGCTTCTTAAACAGTCTTTTTCAACCCCTTGTCTCACTCTCCTGGGTCTTCCCAAATAGTCTAAATGCAAGGAGCTGAATCTAGCTGTTATTGGGTCCCTTTTCTAGGTCCTGACTTCAAGGTCCAAAGGATCTATCAAAGTTTAATTCTAAAACTATGGATATGCAATACAACTTTCTCACTACACTACTAAATCTTGATAGCTACCATTTAAAGCATTATCCATCCTCAATTTTTCATATAGCCAGACTTAGTTTTAATTTCTAGCTGATCATATTTCCCAGATCCTCTATGAGAGCTTTGGACCAATTCTTCACTCTCCTGATCAATCACTGTTCAGACAATACACTTCATAACTACAACTTTCCCATGAGATACTTCACAGATTTGAAAGCCTGAAGACTGAGGGTACTTATGTACTTACTCTTCTTTCCATTAGGACAGCATTCCCTTATTATTCATTTATTTCAATACACTCCTAAAGGAGAACTGCAGTATGAATAATACTTTCCATATTAAACTATGGTAAGAAGATTGATTTCCCTTTTCTTTCTTTTTTTCTTTAATTATTATTATTATTATTATTTTGAAATTACTGGATCTGTTTATAAGAGTTTTATGAAAGATGGGAGGTAGGACAGTCAAAACAACCAGATTTTAATGCTCACTTTTGTGCCTATTGAAGTCAATGAATACTCCCACAAATACCATCATTTGTCTGTTTACCTTGAGGGTTTCCAATCCTTTTACCGAATATTTATTATTTATTTCCATAAACTCCTTTCTGTTGACAGGAAGACTCCAATGCAGGATTATGGATGATTTTGCTGAAGGTTATTACTTATGTGACAAAATAAAAACAAAACATAGGCTGGCAGAATGAAAGGCTTTGGCATTATGTTTTCAAAGTTTCTGGGCTCTGAGTCATATTTCCCAGTTTTTAACATGATAATAATTTTAACATTTTGCACATCTGTGTAAAATGATTTCTGCAAGTTGGTTGAAAGCTACAGTAATTCAGAAGGTAGCTAATAAACTGTTTAGTCATTTGAGGCTCAGGTCAACCTCTAGGAGAACTGTGACATGGTAAATGGCAGTAACCATTTGACTGCCTGATTTTAATATATTGCTGTACCTGCAGCAGAACTCAGTTACTCAAGTTACATACCCAAGGTATTTAAGCGCTTAAGTTCACTCACATGTCAAAGGCTAAAATTCAACTGCTACCAACCCTGGAGATGGCTAAGGCATCTTAGGCATCTACATCAACGCAGCTCATGACTGCTTAAGCCTAGGCTATGAATATATAATGCTTAACATTCATGAAGACYCACAAACCAGGTGGCTCCTATTGAGGTAGTCTCTGGAAAGGAATAGCTTGATGATGATGATAGAAGGAGGAGGAGTTGTCTATTTCCCCAAAACTGCACTACAGCACTTGCTATATTTTGAGGAAACCCAGCTATACCTTTTTCTTTTAAAGATTTGAATCCACACCATTCATAGGAGAACATTTAAACCATCAAATGTGAGTCTCTTTTTTTTGCAACTGTCTTATTGAAGCTCATGTCATATGTTGCATAAACTAGTTGAAAACGAATGAACAAAATCCACTTTTCTTCAGGCTAAGGACCAGAACCCAGGCCTGTCTCCTGAACAGCAGTTATCCAAGCTATAGTACAGTTTTTGCTCTCTTCTTTTTCTGAATCATAAATGCAGACGCAAACTGAAATAGTTTCATCAGGAGCTAATCTCCGTTATGGGTGATCCATTGACAACGGTTTAGCTTTTCAGTGCTTCAGATTCTGGGCCTCACAAAATTATTTTATGTACTTTGGAATCTGTTCCAAAGTTCAAGCTCAAGATGCATATGAATATATTCTAAACTTATTTTAGATCTTTCAGGTTATCTGACAATGCCTGCTCTACTATATTCTTCAGTGACTGATTAGTATTATTCTCAGTGATTCCTTCATTCTCTGCTTGTAAATATTCCATGGTTATAGGGAACCTCCCCATCTATTTCAGCAGTGTGAGACTACTGCTTTGACTTTTAATAGCTTTTTTAGTACTGTCAAAGAGTTAGACTATCCCACTCATCCATCCGCACAGACACAGACTTGATCCCTCAAAACAAAACACTGATCAGGGTAGGGCTATTGAACAGCAGCAAGGGGTAGAATACTAAATCCACTGCAAATCAACCCAGCTGCTAAGTTTATAAGCTCTATAGCAGAGGCTAGGAGAAAGTTGTGTAGAGCATTATCAATCATAACTAACAACAAAGATGTTTAGAGACAATCAGCAAGCAACACTTTGCATTCGTACAATTAGCATTTTAGTTCTGTAGTTGCAGAGAGAAAAAAGCAAGCAATTAGGAAATGGATTGGTTAATCATTCTCAATGACTATCTTTGGTGTTAGTAGTATGCTTTGGTTAGCGATTCATGAATTCACAATGATCCATTTAACCCACATTCTTCAATAACTGTGTTAAAAGAAGGATGTAATTACAGTTACATACCTGGCAGTACCATCCAATTGCTCTTTCCTTTTATAGAAGAGAGGATGCATGGCAAGAAAGTAAGAAGAGAAGAATTACATAATAAATTCAATAGATTCTTTTAACTGAAATTGCTAACATGCTGCTTACAATTCATATCTTTTATGTTCTGTGATGCATAATAAAGGTTATAACCTTGCATTTTCAAATGGCCATAAAGAAAAGAGAGTGGTACAGGTTCCTGTAACAAAGCAATGCTATTTGGACTCGAAATCAGTCTTCAGTGAGAAGTTAACTTCTTTGCCCTGTCTCCTGGGACATTATTTGCAAAGCATCTACTAAATTTCAGTCTCATTAAAACCAGAGGTGACTCTATAAACAGTAAAAAAAAAAACTTGTAAGCATTGTAATGCATCCAGATCATAAGGAAGCCCAAGAATTATTCTCTGAAAAACCCTGAGATAAAAAAAACTCCTCTAGAAATTATTCTGAATTACTCTGTTATGGATAATGTGGGAATAGACAGAATAAAGCATAATGAAGAAAATGAAAAAAAAAATGTACTGAGCCTTAACTAAACACTTTTTGCATGGAAGATTTGCTTTGTGACCTAAGTGAGATTAGTCTTTTAGAAATGTATTGTGAATAATAAAAAAAAGAAAAGAATTTGATCCATAAAACAAATAATGATTGATTTTGATCTATAATTAGCCCCTTGTGAAGGCAGGAGGCTGAAATGTGTATGGTTCTTCAAGGTCTTTATAAGGTACAGTTGGAGATGCATTATCAGCACAGTGATCACAGCTCACACATATAGATCTCTCCTTCAGTCATTTGAGAGGAGTGTTTTCAGAATCAGGCATAACAGCTAACCAATAAAAGAACTTTAAAACCTGTTCTTGGTTAAGTTAATCTCATTATTAGCATCTGAAATTCTAGAGCTAAAAGCTTTGGCTTTCACACTTTTTTTTATCAATGTAAAATCCTCAAGTTGAAGGTGTTTTCTAAGTGAGGCCTGTTTGACGGGCAAAAAATATGAGATCAAACAGACTTATTTTCATAAACAAGCACCCATTAAGTCTCAGTGCCTTTACATTTTGAGTGCTTTGTACTTAACTCAGGAGGATACAAATTAAACAAGAGGAAAAAAAAACCCATGTCCTTGACTCCTCAGAAAAATTGCCTTGAGGAACCTCCACTACTATCTTCAGTGGGAGAAAATTTTAAATATGGTTTGATAATTCTCTCTTGATAGTGAATTGTTCCTGTGAACAATTGTTATTGCTGTAGGATTAACATTAATACATTTATGTTTCCTTAGGTTCTAATGCCATGGACAAAGCATGTGACAAAGTAATTCTCATGTTACCAAAGTTGAAGAAGGTGAAGTTAGAATTCATCTTCTTTCAGGASAGCACACATATCTTAAAATATAAAAATAACATCATGAAGGTCATGAGAAACACAGGCACCTATGAAGTCCAGTGCTCATTCTTAGGGCCCAGATTTGAGATGGATTTGAGACTTCCAGAGGAATAAACTCCAATCTTATAAAGGGAACCTAACACTGAATCAAASTTCTCCTTTGTTCAAGGCAAAAATAAGAGCCACTCTGTGCTCTGATACATCYCACTGGGGGAAGGAAGAAGAAATAGATAAAAAAGCCAAAAGCATGTTTTTCCCTTTCATCCAGGAAGAAGGGAGAAAAAGAATGAAGAAAAATTCATTCCATAGACAGATGAAAGAGGTGGGATGACATACAGAAAATATTTATCATGGGCTTGCAGGCAGACCCTTCACTAACCCTACCATATGAATTCACCATATAATATCACATGACACATTTTCATCTGAAGATAGATGTAGSATTTGAGTCATTTTAGCCAACTGTCTTTCCTCTCAGTGTTCCTATCTGACCCTAAATAATATCTCTTCAGTTTTTTGTTTCTTGTAGCTCTTTTTCTTTACACTAGGCAATCCATAAAACTGGACTCCACTTCTAGAGAAGAAATCCTTTAAAAAAAAAAACATTTCTACAATCTTGCCAACATTATTTTCTGGCAGCAGCCCATAGCCTACAAAACTCTCATTCATATATATGAGTTCCATATTTCCTGTCTTGATTTATACTTCACGGAAAATAATGGAAAGATGGACAATGCACTTACCTGAAAAACGGAAAKGATACAATTGATTCATAAAACCGCCAGGTAGCAACTAGATCTATTCTATTGGGGTTAGTAGCATAGTATCTCCAGGCAGCCTGAATAATAAGGAAGATGGAATAATTAGTGTTAGATAAAGCTGGACTGAAAGCAGATGGATTGTTTCAAAGAGCCCATCCATGCCCATCTGGAAATTAGTTACTAATCAATGTGAAACTAGATAGTGAAATCGTTGACATTGAATTATAATCTAAGAGGGCTATGTGAGGAGACAGCATATGAGACAGAACTACCAACACTAGCAGGAGGTTATATTTAACTAATCTGGTTTTATTTTCCTGCCTGGTACATCTGAAAGAGCTTCAAGAACTGCTTGACTTGTCTGATATTTTTGAAAGTGCTCGATCTAGTTTATTGTGTAATGTGTCATCAGGGAAATTTTGCTGAACAATTTTATAGCTCCACATTTAGCTTATCTCAAAATTCTCTAAGCACATAATTAATGACATTGTGGCTAAATTAGCTACTTGCTAAGAAAAGATGCTTTAATTTAAAAGATGAATTCAATTCACCACTCCTGTAGCCCTTCTGTTTGCCAGGGAGTGCTTTCAATGAGTAGTGTAATGTGCTGTTTGACCTGTTTCACCAGGAGACTGGTTTGACCTTGAGCAGTCCCAGGCATCAGCGTTTCCATCTCAAAGCACAGAAAGTTCTCTGTCCCCTGGGAAAATGCTGCCTTTGACTTCTCTCAGGGCATGCTCCACTCCACATCTACACAGAGTAAATCCTGTAAAGTTTAATAATCTCTCAGACTAGTCATTTTATGCTTAATTTTCTAAATTAATAACAAAGATCAGAACTAAAGTCCAAAGTGAACTAATGACTAAGAACTTCTATGAACTTTCAGTGAGCGTCTATGAATTTTCCATGGGATAATGGAAAATCCAGAGCTAGTTTCACTTTGACAGACCACATGTGTTTATGAATTATGCCTGGACTGAAACAGTCACTGTCTGCTGCGTTATTTCTGTTGCTGTTTTCACATCACTAATAGCTATTTGTTTGCACATAAAACACTTCCTCAAGGGAAGTGGCAAAACTTAAATTTTGAAAGAATACGTTTTTAACAGCTTATTTTCTGTGATTTTTGAGGTGTTGATGCAGAAGTTGATTGATTTCCAGAAGCTAGCAAATGAATGCCTTTCTTCTAAAGACACTTTTCTTCTACAATGTATTTTAGTAATGGAAATATTCCTCAAAAAAATACAATGATCCCTGGATTATCTAGCTTGACATTAACAAAACTGACTCCTGTGTAAGCACAGCTTCTCACCTCCTGCAACGGAAATATGAATTCAGGCGGGGGGAGAGGTGGTCCTTGTTACATGATATAACAATTTTAATAAATGGCACTTTTCCAAGAGTGGAGAAGTGGCTTCAAACCTGAATAAGTTCTGCTGCTGGCTTTCTTCTTTTTTCAAAATGTTTTTGGCGATGTTGCTCTTGGACCTTCAATGCCAGCCCTGAACCCAAGATGCCCTGAAAGCATAGAGAGATTCAAGATTTTAGGTGTTTCTCACTTAGGAAAAGTAGACTAATAAGAACAGGAGGAAGAGGTTCTGTAGAGGGAACATGCAGATAGATATGGGATCATTGTGTAATACCATACATGCCCTTTCCAGTCAGCACTCTATCAAACAACACTCATACAGAGTTCAGAGAACATCAGGGTATCATATTATTCCAAACAGGTTTTGTGCAAGGTTTGCCTGGGGAGAAAGGGGCCTGAAAGCAACATGCTACTTGCCTCCAGAGTACAGAGTAAGGCTTATGTTTTTTCCTGGTATGGACAAATTTAAGGATCTGAATCTCTTCTTAAAATGGGCATCCTAGTGGGAGTTTCATCACTTCAACTTTTTTTTTTTTTTTTAAATAGGTCATGCATATCTAAAAATCATTTGTAAAAGAACCTATAAGAATCTTCTCTTATCTCTGGTAGACCTGGCTTAGCTCTGGGTAAAGGGAGGAGGAGGAAAGTACTTACAGCAGGAAGGGCAAAGAATGACACTCCAATGAGTGAGAAAGTAGCTGCAATCAGTCGTCCCTCCCATGTCTTGGGAGTCTTGTCGCCGTACCCAATTGTAGCCAGGGTGATCTGTGAACAAAATCAACAGGTCTTCCCATAAGAAAATTAGAGTGAACAGACTCGTTTTAAACATCACCATCATATCTGCATAACCCACTTAGGTGTATGCTCATGCACACTAGTTAAAAAGGGATCTTGACAATAGGCCATCTGTTTTTGTTTGTTTTGTTTTGTTTTGCTTTATATATATATATATATATATATATATTTAAGAGCAACATGATCCTGAGGTATCACACCCAGAAGAATGAATTTAGTCTTAAGGCACCTGACTACTTATGATGCATTTGTTGAAAAGTGACTGATGTGGCACATGGGGTAAGTGTTGTGCCCACAACCAATGCACAGCTAGGAAGGGGACTCACCAATTAATTGCCTGCAGAGCTTGAACCAGCTACCTCTCCCCGAGGTGCCACAAAGATCACTTAAACAAAGATCACTTTGCAAAAACTGACTGACCCTTTTCTTAACCCTTTTTTTGACTCCAATGAGACTCCACTTGACTTTCTTATTATTCAATTCTTCTAGAAAAGAATATAAACATATCTAATTTCTCTGTGCAGCACTTGGACCTTTTAATTAATAATGGAAAAAGACAACTTTCCATTAATGAATGAACTGCATGACACAAAAAGTTGTACTGCAGTCAACTGTATGTCATAGCACAATATAGACAATTTCCGTAACTATTCGTGGTAAAGAAACATGAACTTAGTGTAGCAATCGACTGGGGTCTTTTATGATCAAGTGAACAATGACACAAACCAATATTTCTCTCTTCATCAGAAAAGACAAGATGTATCCCTTTTTCTCAGTATTCTACCACCAAGGACAATCTCTGATGTATTCTTTTAAAATTCATCTCTGATGTATTCTTTTAAAATTCATGTATAACCTAAGAAAACTGTGAAACAATGCTTCCCAAAAGACATCCTTCTACCATCTTCATATGAAGTCAGAGACCTGCTCAGTCAAAGAAGGTTCATGCTACCTCCTTGTGCACCTTTTGAGTGTCAATCTACAGCAGAATCCTTATTAGACTTTCCTAGACAGAACACTCATGTGATGAGAGCTAGGTCTGCACTAGGCAGCACTGTCAGTGCAGTTATAAACATAGAGACACTYCCCTAAGGAGATGATATCCAGAAGTGAGGAGTCACAGAATGGTTTCTGAAAGAAATGTAAGCACCTGAGAGTCTTTGAGTGAAAGTTAATGCGAACATAAACTCTGAAAATTCGGTGTGGGATCATCCYTGTTATTGGCAATGTTATATTGATAACATCCTCCTCACCCAAACTCATTAGCTCACTTATACTTCATTTCCTAACACTGATACTTTATGTGTTATTAGACATAACTTTTTCAAGAGGAGGATAGGACATTTTGAGAGTTACGTACCAGTCCCCACCACAGTGCATCTGCATAGGTTTCAAACTCCTCCTTCATCTCCACCCCATTAGCATCCTTTTCAGGCACATCTTTTTCAACCAGATAAACAAGAAATGAGGAGAGGATGAGGGTCAGGAACCCGATGTACCAAGCAGTGATGAGTTCCTGAACAAGAAACAGAAGGACAATGGACGGGTTGAAAACYACCTCGTTATCCACTGTGGCAGAGTAAATGTCAAGAGTGGAGAGAAATCCCAAGGATAGCAGCAGAGAACTCAATGCTGGTTTGGTCACAGTCTATGAGAAGACTAGTGCAGCATTTACTGAGAAATAAAGCACACATACACAAGAACTAACTCTTATATGTTATATTTCTTAAGAGAAGCTTGCAGGAATCTGCAATTGTGCTTCTGCATAAAGCTGAGTTGAGGGTTTAGCTGCACTATGGCAGTGTCCTGCAGGGCTCTGTTGCTGACCGTGATTCTCCTGGTTGCTTCTAACAGTTGTTCCAGCTGCCCCCAGACTGGGACAATCTTTCCAGGTGACCCAACAACTCTTCATATYCCTACCTCCAGAGACTCAAAGCTGTGGAATAGCGTTCCATTAGCCAGCTCAGAGCAGCTTTTGAGGTAAGTTTTCACTGTACRCTGATGAAATAAAAATAGATCTTGAAAAATAGCAATATTGAATAAACTCTGAGCTCAAAACCTGAACGTCCTTGATTGGAAGTGAGTGACTACAGGGAAATACATGGCTAGTCCCATTGACATGGGAGATGTTTAGACCCATCTTAAAATCCCCACAATGTTTCAATCACAGTAGAGACATTTTTGGTGAAAGCAAGTTGTAAGACAACATTCCACTTCTTTTTTTTTTTTTTTCTGAGAAATATATTTGCCAGAAAATAGTGTGTAGCTTAGAATTTTATTATTGAACTTTGAGATAAGTCTATTTCCTTAGCTAATTTCTGGTATGTGACCACCAAATGAAATTTGTTCATTCTCTTTGTTATCAGAATTGTGTCCTTAGTGTCTTCCAGTGTAACAAGGTTCTCACAACACCTTTTTATCTTTCTCAGACAGCTAGGGTGCAAAATGTCATGCTGGGGAATCAAAGGAGGAAGATTAAAAAAACAAAAATCCCAGGCTATGAAGCTTTAAACACTTTCTTAACAATTTCTTTGGCACATATACTTTTTTCATGATCTCAGTTTCCTAAAGCATATTTTTGACATAAGTGTTTATGTGCCACCCGCCTTGTAGCAAGTTTGTAGGGGGTAGGAGCAGAAGTTGGTATAAAATGAAGCAGAGTGGGTATCCCTATCAGACACTACAAGGAAGCAAAGCCCAATATACTGTGCCAGCTGGCATTTTAAATTTTTTAAAAAACCCAAAATGTCAGGAATGTCATTCACAGATTTAAAAAAAAAAAGCAGTATGTAACACAGAGTGTATGTGATTTTTATACAGTTAAGATGAGAAATCTCATCTAGAATCTTTTTATGCACATAGCTTTTAACATGTAATAATGTTTGGTGAAAATGCACAACATATCTGTCTGGTGTGAGACAGGATGTGTCTGACTACAGCATCAAGATAGTCTGAACAAAGATGATTTTTGAAATTTTGTCTGTCTGGATCTCACATTGCATCCATCTTTGTATTGCCTGATCTATGCTTTCAAAGAGAAATTATTTTTGCAGCTCCCTCTGAAGTCACACTTCTGCTCACCAGCCTCTTTCCATTCCTCCAGAGTATTGCTCCATCAGTTGATCAGACCAGTCTGAGAAGCCACTACAAAAAAGTTGCAATTATAGAGGTGTTCCTGTCAAAGGTCTAACATACTTCACCTTTAATAGTATGTTCTCATGCTGCAGGAAGGAAAAATTCCTGTGGAAATGAGTATGGGTTTGAACATCTTGCTCTTTTCACTTCTCACTATGTCCACTGAGTACAGAGGGGTAAGTTAAGGGACAGGGTTTAGGGTATAGAAGAGACCTGAAAGGACTAAACTCTTCCTTGGTCTCCAGATCTTAATCCCAATGGATTGYTGTACATTCCTTTTCTTCCCCTTCCACCTCTTTCCTCCTGATCCCCAGCTTAGTCCTGCCAGCTCCTCACTTACTTTGCTATGGGCACAAATGGCAGATCCCAAAAGTTTCCATGTGCCTCCTCGCCTGTCCATTCGGAGCATCCGTAAAATTTGAAGGAAGCGGAGGCTTCTGAGAGATGTGGCCAGGACATTGCCCTGATTTCCAACCGCTACCACCGGCACCGAAGCAATCAGCACAAAGATATCTGCAAGGCAAAAGGAAGAAAAAAGCCTGACAGTAAAAGTGTCCCCAATCACTTGCTTTTTTAACACAAATCCCATCTGTTTGTGCTAAAAATTTCCCTAGGCAAATTTTAAAACTTCCTGAAAATGCCTTCGCTGGCCAATTAAACAGATATTGGCACCTGCAGCATGGTTGGAGTCACGCACAGAATGCACCAGAGCCTGATAATCAATTTGCAGATCAATGAACTGGGCTTGAGACAGCAACTGAGTTAGCATAGGAATGCAAAGAAGCAATGTAGACAGAAAAACAACCCTGAATCCACATGTCCCAGAGGCAGCTCACAGCACGCACAGCAGACAAGAAACTTGATGTTCAGTGGTGCATCTAGTATTTTGTTTTTTTGCCTCGCCTTTTGTCTGCTTCTTCTCTCTCCCCCCACTTCCTTTTTTTTTTCACCTCCCAACTCYCTTTTTATAAATACACATACAGCTAAAAGCAGCACTAAAAGGCTCCAAACATTCTCTCTCAGTCTTTAAGCTGTCTGTCTTCACATTGTGTTTCCAGCCAAAAAGAGTGGCACCAGATGGGTTCCGGATTTATTCAGTTTTCAATCATGCTCAAAATAAACTTATGCTACTTACAAACCAAGAGATGTTGCTAATAAGTCCAACAGGGTCTTTTCCTTTCCTTATCCAGACATCAGTAAAGACTTATTCTTAGAAGTGAGACGCTTTTAATGAAACGGCAAGAGACAGTATAAATCCCACCTGCTTACACATAGATGTACTGCCCTCACAATGCCATTAGAACGGTCAGAATACTTCTCTAGCAGCATCCAAAGGAACTCCATCAGCACAAAGGCAGAAACAAAATTTGTACCAGTTTAGTTTACCATTTATGCACATAAAGTGAATAAAAGGAGGAAGAGAGAGGAAGGTGCTGTGCGTATTTGTAAGGATTCCCATGGTGCTATGCACTTTATAATGAAGAATATATACTACACTATAGTATATATTATATACTGAACAAAAAGATAGTTATTGGCCACTAGAGCATTCAAATAAATGAGTCATGGAAATACTGAATATATGCAGACGTGTGACAGTTACTCATGACCGACCAAGCTCCTAAATGTTGGCTAGCTGTTTTGGGGACATAAAGGGGAGATTTAAGACGTCATTTGAAGTTGTTTAATGAGTAGTTTGATGGATATATGTAGGCAATGTTTTCCAAGGAGCATGGCAGAAATAATAAATTGTCCACAAATATATGCCAACATATATTTGAACATATTTGAATATGAAAAAGGAAGAAAGTGAACTTAAAAAATGCAGAGGGTCTGCAGATAGTGAGACTTCCTGCTGGCTCAGAACAAAAAGGACATAAATTTGGAAAGCAGCAATGAAGAATGTGTGCCTACCCAGCATGCACAAAGGCTTCCTGGCAAACTTGAGTCTCCCCCTCCATCCTTTATAGCGGCAGCAACAGCCAGCAGCCCAGATCCTTAAGGCAAACTCTGCTCCAAAGATGAAAATGGCAAAAGTTTCCTGCGGCAAAGACACAAACTAGAGGTTAGGCATGTGCTGTGCTTACCCCGCCTTTATGGAAGGCCAATTATCCCCCCAAAAATCTTCCCATTTCACATAAGTAAGAACATGCATCTGAGTGGACTACATCCCCTATCAGCAGCTTGTCCGTGTTGCCATGTCTACAGAAACAGGGTAGCAAGACAGTGCATATTCATATGGTCATACTGAAGAGGATAATACACTGCAACCTGCATTATCTCTCACTGTTTCCAGTGTAGGGCAGAAGAGGRTTTTCTGCTGTGCTTAACAGATGTTGTGCTTCCAGCTCCCCCTAGTGTAGGGCGATATGGGGTAGGGAGGGATTCTCAGAGGACATAGGCTGAGGGCAACATGGGACAGGCATGTTTTCCTGTCCTTTTCCTCTGTGAATAGTTGACCAGGAGAAAAGAAGGGCAGGGACACTAAGACTGAAAGTCAGATTTGCATTTCCCAGACATTAAAAGTGTTTCCATACAGCTGCTTCCTGAGAGGGAACTTGCAAGGGGAAATCACCTTTCATGCSTCTTGGCATTTAATTCTTGCCCAGATCTKCCTCTCCCTGAGGGATATAAGTGGYAATGGAAAGTGAGATCATAGAACTGCTGCTACAGTAATTTCCCTCGAGATGTTTCTTCTAAATGGGCTGGGTAAGTTAGAGGTAGCTCTCTGTATTGCACAATAGCTATGGGAGCAGAGGATGTGCTCTTTATTAGAGCCACACTCAAAAAGAATTAATAAGTTGATATTTAGCATTTTTTCCTTTTTCTTTTTCCTTCTGCCATATGAGAGTCATACACAAATATAGTCTCAAGCACAGACTCTAGCATTTAGAAAATAAGCATGCTAGAAATATGGAGAAATAAATATATTTTTTCAAACACTTTCAAAGGTAGTCTTTGGAGACAGTGTCAGTAACAGTTACAAGTGTTCTGCCATGAGACATGAGAATAAGCCAAGTTCTGTGTCATCCCTTGTTATATAACGAATTGTTGAGAGACTCCCAAAAGTCGAGCTTTCAAAAGTGCTTGGTTCGGGCCTGGTCAGTGGCAATTTTATTGATATATGAATGTGAGAAMCCTTAGGCAAATGCTAAAAAGCTATTATGTAAAACTCTCATGGTGTTTTTAGTCTTTATTTTACTTCCTCTTTACTCAGCCTGTGCTGATAGAGACACAGGGAACTCACCAATRTGTAAAGGTACTGTCGTTGCCCCAGGACCAACAGAAGAAATCTTTTTACATGAAGACCTGGGAAAAAGTTTCCATCACTATAGGGATGGGACCAAGAGGGACTGATTTCAGTTTGAGGACCTTATCATGATGGTCACAGTCTACTCACCAGCAAGAGGAGCCAGTCTCCAGAAACCGTTTCATACTCCTTGAAGGTTGTTAGGACAGCTAAGATCAAACACCCCAAGACAATCAGAAACCTGAAAGAAACAAGAAGGACAAATCAGAGCATTGTCACCAATCTCTGTATTTCTGTTGGAGATATTACCTMGGATAGCAACCTTTGCAGAGGCCTTTGGAAGGCAGCTACTTACTGTCAGTGAGCAATTGGGATGGAATCCATCAAGATGAGGAGGGAGCTTGAGGGTCACAAAATGATGTCAAGTGGTCAAGACATCCTTTGTACATGGCACCAACTTTGCATGGGCAAGAGAAAGACAGAAGGACTTGGAAGTCGAGAAATTGAGGCAAAACCCCAACTCAGCATGGCCTCAGGACAGACACTAAATAGACTCTTCAGGAAGGAAGTAGGCGATAATGGATTTTCGGATTGGATTATATGCTGTGGCAGAGGACTGCATTGCTCAGGTCTCTTGCAGTCAGATGTTCTATGGTCTTCATAAAATGGTCCTGAAGTTACAGTGACATAATCTGCTTGGRACATACTATAAATGCTTCAGTACAACAGACAGTGCAGCACTAGGGTAAACCCTCCTTTGAAAATCACACTGTTTTTCTTTTTTCCTTCTTTTTTTGCTTCCATTCCTTTGCAGGTGAAAAGATCAAAAGGTGAAAGAGAAGCAATAGGGAGGACAAACTGCTTTCCAGTAAACTCAGTTCTCGGTAAATCCCTGTACCAGTATTATTGGTTCTGAGGCTCCAAAAAGGAGAGAACTGACAGAAAATTTATCTCCCATCCCTGGCAAATTGAAGTCAATCTAAGCTAAAGACATTCTGATCTGCCTTATAAATCTGCTCCCAGGTTCAAGCTATTCAAAATCCTTCCTACATAAAGATGAAAGAAAAATCAAAGGAGTCTTGTAAATGATTACTGTGAAGCAGAGTAGGAAAAACTCATATTTTTCTTCTTTTTATGCCCACAAAATGGTCATTTTAATGTGCTCTACGACCAGTCCGCAGCAATAGAGGCCCGGGTAGCTATAGAAATATTTCAGACCTTAGTAAATAAATTGGAAGGCTGCCTCCATAAAAGCTTTGGATCTATGCTTTCATAGCTAGTATATATCAAAAAACTGATAGGCATTAGAAGTTGAAATGATCTTAAATTGTTAAGAAAAGATCCAAAGAGTATTTACTTTGTACTACTTATTTTGAACTTCAATCTGATACCTAAACTATGACCTCATAAATAAATCTTCAATTTGTTTCACCAAGGGAACAAAGGAGGGTCGTGGTCTCCAGCATGGAAGCAACAAGAGCAAGGACTCCCTAACATCAACTGCTCAGATGTCAAGAAAATCACTTGGAAAATTTCACCTCAGCCATTTGAACAAAATCAAAACAAAAAGAAATGTTTCTTCTCATGCTAAGGCACTCTAGCATTTCCTGGATGAGTATCACCTTCCCTCATGCATCAATCATGCTCTGATGGAGCAAGGATTGCAGAGCTGGTAAGAGAAAGCCTTCGGGTCCAGAATTTGTCTTTTACCACTTCTCTGCAAATGCACTCTGCTGTGATGGAGGCATTTAGCAGGTAACCTACCTGCTAGCAGTCCCTCTGCAATGTACGTCCATCCACTCAAGCTTGGTCTGCCTCCCCCTGCTTTACTGTCCCATCTTGCACCAAGGAAGCCAGAAGCACACTGCTAAGCAACTCAGTCTGCTACATCAGCAAATGGGTGAAAACTCTATGATATGATTCTTTCAATCAGCTGTAAACCAGCCATGACCTCTCACATTACAGCCTGGGCTGGTTGAGTGATTACATCTCTAAGTCCACATAAAGGCTTGAGCTATTGCTACTTACGCTTTCCATCAGAGTCACTTCCTTACATCACCTGAAAATCTGGCCATCTGTCAGCTCACTAATATCATTTAAATGACTTAATGAAAGTTGAAACACACTGAAAACAGTCCAAGGAAATTACGTCATCAGCTACTTAAACGAAGGGATTGAAGTTAAAGTATCATGCAGCTGAATAGCAGTGTCGTGTAAAGATGGTATGCATACTTTTGTCGAAATAGAAGAATATAATTCAGTAGTGAAACTGTCACGTTTTATCTAAAACCGACAGTCTTTTAACCAGTAGAGGGTACCAGTGCTCCACAGAGCAAAGGGATTCGGCTCTGGTTCGTGTTTTCCTCCCCCACGGGGGCACGAAGCAAGGCTGCTTTTTCAGGAGCTGTGTGTGGCATGCGTTACACTGCAAAACTCGCAGYTTGACTCGAGAGCCCGGCTGCAAAAACAACAGATCGTGGAGGCCAAAACAGGAAAAAGAGGGTGGGAGGGTGAGAATGCAGATCACAAGTTACTGCAAATGATTTTGAGGGAGAATCAGAGCTGAGGACATTGTCTGAGCCTCCTGTTGCAAGAAGGAACCTTGAGATGTTCTAGTAGGATCTTCTGTGGTACCATTCCATAGGATAAGCAGCCACTGCAAGCTGATCAAAGCCCACATCAGCAGTCCTCACTCAGCCTCTGAAATAACCACCACAGCCAGAGCACTTCACAGTCAGTAAGTTTTTAATATTTGAAGAATAGAGGGTTGTTCAAACATGATATTCGGGAAAGCTTGTGGAAACCTTGGTTTTAGGACCCTATAGCTTTGGGAATCAAAAGCTAAGTACTGAAAGAACATAATAAACCTCRATTTCAAGTTTTAAGGGAAAATAAGAAAGGAACAAATGGAACAAAGCAGAAAATCTCAGATTACAGAAGCATTTGGAGACAGAAGAAATTCCAATGAGTTGCAATAAATGATACTAAAAAAGAGAAAGCAAATGCAAATCTATGCAGTCTCTCACTGTTGGACAGGGCAAAAAGACTTTTGGCATTCTTAACCTCCAAAGTCCCAAACAGAATGAGATGCAGCAAAACTTGCAGATCAGGTGGAAAATAAGAAATCATGAAGTGCTCTGACTGTGGTGGTCATTTCAGAGGCTGAGTTAACAAGTCATAAGTATTAAAAACACATTTTTTCTCCCAGTTCTTTGAGTTGTCACATATTCCCACCCACTATCTTTTTCTCTAGATCCAAACTCCTTTTCTTGAGAACATCTGCAGTGATTGTTTTGTCCCTAATAACGGAATGTAGTTGGGACTTTTAATATTAAAAGAAAAAAAAAAAGTAGAACGAAATATGAAAGAAACAAAGAAAAAAGACATTAACAAACACCTGAGAATTGTTCTTCAGAGAAAAGGGAATGTATGTCTGACTTTTGGGATATTCACTATGGAATAGTGACATCTCTTACATTTCCACAATTACTAACAATCGGCCAGTTACTCTTACAGAGACCAATATAAAGATAAGGGTGATTGACAAAAATACAATAACTATGAGGCTACAAAGCTGCACTGAGAAACTCAAAGGAGGTTCTGTAAAGGGAAAAAGCAGCCAGACGAGGTATTATAGGACATCCAAGGATTTTTCTTTCCCTGCATCTATGGTTTCCACTAACCATATGCTCACATTTTCAGCTCCAGAGAAGATGATGCCCACAGCCACAAAGCCCTGATGTCTTTAGGTGGAAATGCCACACTATCAGCCTGCAAAGCTGCATCACACTCCTACTCCACAGCCTTGGCAGAGAGAGAGCAAGATCCTCCACAGCATGCTAGAAGAAGCCCTGGGAAGTAAGAAGTCATTCCCAAATGATCCCTAGTCTCAAACGCAGGTCAGCAGATCTGGTCCAGAACAAGAACATACATCTGGTGATGGAGGTAAGGCCTTTATTGGTCATAGAATGGGAAACCAAGACAGAAAATGCTAAACACATTCTCATGCCAAGCCAGMTTTTTGTAACTTTGGATTCTGTAGCAACAGGATTTTCTCTAAACTGGATTCATTGCTGTTCCCTTAAGTCTGGAAAGCTTTTAAAAAGCAAGATCTGAGAGAGGAAAGTTGCACTGTAACTTTTGCAATGCAAAAGCATCTAAGGTGCACGAATACAGTTTTTAAGTCAGGCAGTTCTTCTCTCGACTATATGCCAGCCAAGGTTCTGGTTAGCAAGGAGTCTTCCTCCTGTCTTTTCTTCAGGTCCACCCTTTAAAACTTTTTGCTTCAATGTACTATGCTATTGGACAGTGATATCAGATAATGCAAACAGCATCATCCAGGACTTGATGCTCTAGGTGATCTTTCAGAAGAATGGCCTGAATTTCTTGACTTACTGGGATTAGAGTGAAAATCAGAGTAATACAATTCCCTAGTTCAATATTCTCCCTCAGAAGACACAATTCTCCCAGGGATAGTCCATTCCCATCTTGTCTTTGAGGCAAGTTTTAAAGATGCTCTGAAACTTCTAGCATAAATATAATACAAGGAGAGGCCTAGATGACTTATCACATGGATAATCTGGGGGCAGATGTTAGAAGTAAGGGGGAAGACAAAGGCAATGATACCAAGGAGTTGCTTTGCTAATTTAAGTGCCTTTAAATTCTGGTTTTGTATTAAGTGAGTGACATTGCACTGAAATATTGCCTAGGACTTTTATCTGCCAGGACTAGTGGGCTTGTCCATGGGCTTCATGCAGCTAATTGACCTGAGACACACAAACTGTGAAACATGGTGGACAATGGAGCACAGCAGAGCAGAAACAACATGTGTCCAGACAGCATCACCCAGCAGCCTCATCTGCCACCCAGCAGCCTCATCTGCCATAGCAGCAAATCAAAAAGCTTCAGAAATGGTTATACTGATATGATATTCTCCAAAGGATGTTAAAAAAATCTGTGTTAAATTAAGGTAAGTTATTAAGAGTCATGTGTTAACTTCTGCTAAGCTATTTTGGTCAAGAAAAGTGTAGGGCATTTGAAAGTCAGTCCAGCCTTCAGCAAATCCTGTAATGAGATGGGAATTTAGAGTACATAAAAAGTCTAAGGTAGGAATGCACTTCCAAGTCCACAGTTAGAGATCCTGAGAAGGAATTTCCAGGAAGGTTGCTTTCTAATCACCGACTCATGGTGACACTGTGACACTGTGAGTGACAAAATTTCTGGATCCAAGAAGTAGGATCTC